TATTGGGGGCGATCCGTACTATTCATAAAGAAAAAAAATATTGGTGGGTCCTACTTTAATCCTAAAAGAATATATTGTTGGTGGGTCCCATTTAAATTGTATTTTTTAACTTTTTTAACCAAATTTCATAAGTAAAAGTTTAAAAATAAATCATGATAATTATAGAGACGCAAAAATTATTTTAAAAGAAGATATTATATATGATTTACGAAATTTGACCTCTATTTCGTCATTTTGTGTTTTTGATTTGACAATTAAGGGGTGTTTTTAATAAAAATGAAACAATGCATAAACTGTGTTTTTTAACATATTTAATTTAAAATTTCATGGTTTTTCGTTATAAAATAAGACAATGATAATTGTAGTTATGAAAAAATTATTTTTAGCTGATTTTTGGTGAAAAAATCAGACATTATATCTGATTATAGAGACGCAAAAATAAACCATGATAGTTATAGAGACGCAAACTTATCTTTTTCGTCACACGTTTGACGACCTCAGAATACGTTATTGGCGAAGACAAATGTATTGCACATGTGGGGGAGGTTATCGGAAGGTACTCTACAACACTATTTATATCTTGTAATAAACCGCCACTTCGAAGATACACACAAACATCATCACTTTGACGTGATTTCATGTTTTGTGATGGTTGATTGTGTTTAATGGGTTAAAGGTTGTGATGGTTTATTGTGTTGAAGGGTTAAAAGGTTGTGAGAATAGAATATATGAGAAGAGAAATGAAAGAGGAGGTGTGAAAAGTTGTGAAATAGGAGGTTGGTATTTATAGTGAAATTGATATTAAAAAAATATACTTAGGGCCGGATCGGATGACGTGGCTCACCCCCGAGGGTGGATCGCCCTTGGAGGCGATTTGGGTGGTTAGTTTGGCAAAATCTCTAAAAAATGGTTATTTTGTTATAGTGGGTTGTATAAAATGGTTATTTTGGTGATTTTTCCTAAATTTTATTATATCAACAAAGACAAAAAATAAAACGAAACATTAAAAATGAAAATATATTTCACTGCATTATGCAAGTACCCTTGTGGTATAAATAAAATTTGTGTCGATCCATTCTTAAAATGCTAATGCAATTAATTTGGATTTAATTGAACATGGATTTATTAATATATTGTTATAATTTAATTTTTTATTGAATTATTTGGGTCCATAAATAACCCACCTCATCCATGACTTTTTTATTGAATTATTTGGGTCCATAAATAACCCACCTCATCCATGACCGATAGTACTTTTTAATTCTTTAAGAGGCTGTTTGACAGCTGTTGAATATTTTGGTATAGAATGATTAAGAGACTTTCATAATATAGTGTATAATAAAATATAATTGTTTGGTAATTGTTTATAATGAAATTAGGGCACTGAATGGTTAAGTAATGTCCATGATACAAAATCATTCAGAGGATTTTAGAACCATTAAGAGACAGACTTTTTTTTGTCAAACAATATTCACATCTTAACGATTCAGATACTACCTCTTAATGGAACTATTAAAAAATAAAAAACAACCCCTAAATGATTCTACTTTTATTCAATGTCATAGAATCGTGCTTATTAATTAATTTCTATAGTTGGACTTACATAAGTGATTAAATTAATTTAAATGACTTAAAATTAAACTTTATTCATAGGTATTACATTATAAATTAATAATTTCATGTTTCTTTTTCCCAGTAAATTGGGGTTTTCGAGCCGACTTCATATACCTACTAATCCTCTGAACGACCACGAATGCCTGAAGTCATCGTAGATGAATTTCTATGGCCACAAGACATTTTTTAATGTCTGGATTCAGATCTAGGATCGATGAAATTTTTAACTACATCCCACCTGAGTCTTAATCAATACATCACAATCCAAAAAATTACTGTCGGGTGACAAAACATCCATATCATCATATATGGACACAGAATGATTAAATTTGTCAATAGTCGAATAATTTTATTTTAAATCAATTTTATTCTAATAATTTCGAATCCAACTTTAAAAATCTTATATTATAAACTAAAAAAAATAAAAAATAAAAATCCGAAATTTAAGAAATAGAATAAAACATATAATGATGGTAATATGTGGTACCACTTGGTGTTGGTGAAGGGGTATGCATTCGTGCATTCATAGCCTAATTAAGTGGTTCGTGGGGAATATGTCCAAATAATTAGTGGGGACGAACTTGGATTCATGTGAAAATGATTTTTAAAACATTGACTTATAAAGTTTTATTAAGTTTAGATAAATTTTTTCGTTTTTTTGATTAATTTTTATTTTTTCGGATAAATGGAGACATTGTATATATATTTTTATTTCAGTTCAACTTAAAACAAATGAACACAGTACACATTAATAGTCAGTAGCAATAAATAAGAGGGCAGGAAATTAGATTCAATTAGAAGAAATCAAAGAGCAAAAAACCAATATGCTAGAAATAAAATATAAACTAGTGGTAAATCCTATATCAAAATAACAAACTCAAGATAAACATCTTATTTTAAATATAAAAATCTAAAATATAATTAGGATAATCATTAAGTTTTAGCAGAATACTTAATTATTATCTTTATAAAAAATTATATAATTAAACCTAAATTAAATTATTTCGTTACGTTAAATTAAATTATCATAAAAAATTTAGATTAAAGAAATTACACAAAACAAAAAAATTTAAATAGTTAATTTGATACTAATATCGATATAATTTTTTCAAAATTTTATGATATTTTATTCAAAAATAAAAATATTATCGTTTTCTTAAAACCACATAAAACCTTATTCTATCGATGCAGATAAATAATAAAATGAAATGTTAAAATCAGAATGTGTCTCGACATTAGACAAGTATTCTTTTAATATTTTAATAATATTCGTACTACCTACCGATCCGTATGCGTATTTGCTTGTATCAGATGACGTGGCACATATCACTTGATGGCGAAGTAATAATACCTGTGAGCAGATTTTGGTCCTTGCAAATTACGTTCACGTAATCACGTGCCTTGTCGGTGAGATTTAAAGCGTCAAGGACACCGATTTGAGAAGGCGTGGGGCCCTCTGTAGTGCACGTGTATATAATCAGATGTGGCTGTCACCCACCTTACTTCCGAATGAAATTAAAAGTTATTGAAATTAGAGTAAACTACAATTTTGGTCCTTATGGTTTACACGAATCTCTGAAAGTAGTACCTACACTTTAATAACTACAATTATCGTCCGTACTATTACATTTTGCTTTGTAAAAACGTCCCCGATCACTAGCTCGTTAATTTTATCCGTTAAGTCAAGGTTATTTCATCATTTTGTCATTTTTTTCCCTCTTTTCTTGGTTTTTTCTTTTACTCTTTTCGTCTTTTAGCTACCACCTCCCATCCACGTCCACACCCACAAACCCCGCTGACAATGAATAAAGGTAAAGTCATTACCAATTGTGTTTTGACCCGTTAGATAAGGTTGTAGCTAAGTTATCTGTTATGTTTTATATATATATATATACACACACACAAACACATATACATACATATCTATACTATATTATAAAGTATTTGACAAAAACTCATAAAAACCATTTTTTATGCATGAAGTACTGTTTATTGATGCATATTACTTATAATTAAAGATTACAAGTAAATTGTGCATAAATACACTTATTAAAGTTTCATGTTTGAAATCGTATAACTAATTACACATAAACATAATCAAATACAAGATAAATATTTTTATTTTAAATATAAAAAATCTAAAATATAATTAAGATAATTATTGAGTTTTAACATAATATTTAATTATTATCTTTATAAAAAATTATATTATTAAATCAAAAATAAATTACTTCGTTACTAACCTAAATTAAATTATAATAAAAAAATTAAATCAAAGAAATTAAAAAAAACAAGACATTGTAAATAATTAATTTGATATATTTTTTTCAAAATTTTATGATATTTTCAAATTTATATTTTATTTAAAAATAAAAGCATTATCGTTTTCTCAAAACCACATAAAACCGTATTATAACATCGACAAGAACAGAATAAAACGAAACATTAAAATCAATATGTATTTTACTGCATTGTGCAATTATCCTTCTAATATATAATGATATAAAGTTAAATATTAATATATTTTTTAAAATGTTATTTTATATGTTATACAACATCTACTAATTGGTATTTAATTTTCTGTTCATATTCATCAACTAGAAGAATTAATTAGGATAATGAATGAGAAGCAATATGAGATTGATAAAATAAATACAATAAAACACATTATTCACTGTCTCCCTCACCACTCCTTCGCCAACGACCACTTTTCCGATCATCTTGTCTGATAGATCCCCCACATATCTCGTAGACACAATATGTGTATATGCATAATGTGCAACTGTTACATACACATTGTATGTATTATACGTATGCATAGTATGTGTGTATGTGTGTGTGTGTTTTATATATGCACAATATGTGTATATGTGTTAGATATGTAGTGCACGATGTAGGATGAAGGAGTGGTTCATTCGCGTCCTTTGAAGATGGTTTTATACTTTTACTGGAGCCATAAATACTCTACACTTTTGGCTATGTTGGTGAGCGGTGGGGGAGTATCATCACCGTGTATATGGAGAAGAAAGGTTTGTTGATCGGTGATAGAGGGTGCTGCTGGAGAAGACCACCGAAGTGGATTTGGGTTTCGATGTTGGTCGGCGAAGGAAGGTGCTGCAGGAGAAACATAGATGGAAGGTGGGGCGGGGTGGGGTAGCTACTAGAGACGGTGGTTGATAGAGACGGTGGTTGATAGAGACGGCGGTTGTAGACGATGGAGAAGAAAGGTTTTGCGTGCGTATGTGTATAGACTTGGGATCATGTGACGTGAGACAACCTTTTTACACTTGAAACTTCACAGCATGAAGATTCGGCTTCTTTTTACCTTCACAATATTTGAGAACAATAACTAAAAAATAAATTGAGACACCATGTGACTAAGACGCTGAGAAGATGACGTATATCTTTTTTCGTAATTTGAAGAAAATTATACAACTATCGCGGATTTATTCTCTTAACACCCAAATACGCGTAAAGAATTCATACAAAGAAACAAGCACAAGATATAGAGATAGAGATAGAGATCCACACAAAAAGTGAAGCCAAACCCAGGCAAGAAACACTCTGAGAAAAAAGCTTTTTCTTCAGTTATCCAAGCAAGAAACTCCCTTTCTGATCATTTGGCTTATTGAAAACTCAAAAGATTTCCAGAATCAAGATACCCAGCCGTTACGCTATCCGGGTTGAACTTCAAAGACTCTTTCCAGATGAGCTCTTTCACGTCCTCCTCACTTAACGACGCTTGCTCGAAATCAAACACAAAAGGCGATGGACAGATGGGTTCCTCATTGATTTCATGGAGATTTCGCAACAACGGATGGTTTAGTGCTTCTTCGACTATAAACATGTCATACAAGGGTAAATTTGTCAAATGAAGCCAGAAATAGATGTTTTCGTAGCGTTTTCCGGAGAACAAAAGGCTTACCAGTTATGCGTTTAGATGGGTCGAAAACTAACATTCTCTGTGCAAGATCCATTGCCACAGGGGACACATTCGGAAATTTTTGCTGAAAGGACTTCTTTGGGACATGAGGAAGCTGTTTAACGTACCTCCGAGCATTATCACTTCTAAGAAATCCAAGATCCGAGTCATCTGGAGAACCTAGAAGCTGTATCGAACAAAGGGAAGAAACAATAAGCACTAAACCAAACAAACACAATATATCCCACCAAGAGGTGGGGTCCAGGAGGGTATGATGTACGCAGATTTGACTTTTACTCAAAAAGTAAATCAGTTGTTTCGTGAAGAAACCAAAACACATTTGTTGTTGGTTACCCTATTCATCCCAAGACAAGTGATATACTTCAAAATTTTGATCTTAACTCCAACAGAACCCTTTTGCTGTTGGAACTTGTGCCTGGTGTGTGGTTAACATGATGGTTTTCGAGGGTAGATTGGTAAATTTGCATTAGAAAACTTATCAAGTGCCAAAAAATACAGTTGATCAATGCCTAGCTACAGTTGGATATGGGAGAGGGGGGGGGTGACTGCCACTACAACATAAGCGGCTTTATAGGACCAAACAATTATGTGTCCTATAAAGCAATCTATTAGAAAATTTAGACATATTTTGACGTCCTATAAAGCCGATTTTGTTGTAGTTTGTCATTCTATAATCTACAAGTCATAATCCAATGGCAATTGATGTTTTACTTTCTACCAAAATTTATGACAAAAGACGTCAATAAGGGCAGATAGGTACCTCGGTTATAAGCGCCAACTGCTGAACATAATCTTTTCCAGGAAAGAGAGGTTCCCTCAAAAGAATCTCCATTAAGATGCAGCCAACTGACCAGATATCAATGGCTGCAGTATACTCTGAACAGTTTAGCAACAATTCAGGTGCTCTGTACCATCGAGTCACAACATATTCGGTCATGAAATCTGTCTCAGATGTCGTTCTCGCAAGCCCAAAGTCGCAAATCTTAAGATCACAGTTGGCATCAAGGAGCAAGTTGCTTGGTTTCAAATCTCGGTGCAAAACATTTGCCGAGTGTATGTACTTCAGTCCACGCAATAACTGATACAGAAAATACTGCCAAGTGCAATAGATACAAAAATATTATCAGTTTCAATAAGAACTTTATTAAAAAAAAAAAGACTTGTTTAAAATCACAAGAAAAAAAGGATTTTTGAGGGTTAGGATGGAAATCATTGCATACGGTCCAAACCAAACTAGCATATCCCACTCGAAATCAGAGTCTATAAATGAGGTTTCCAAAATCATTTGATTTCTTCTCTACGTCATTTGATAAACCAACTCTTTTGAGTTTTGACCAATCTATTCGCTCTTAAGCACTTCAGATCAATCCCTCCCTTTTTTTACCGCTTCGATTCTCTATATAAATTTGCTTGCATTTTAGCAAAAAACCCGAATGGAAAAGAGAAGTGTTCAAAAAAAATGGAATGCAATTTTCATAGGAGATCCGAAAAGGACGAGTTGCAGGAAGCAATTTTGACAACAGGTTGAAAAAATCTAAGATTGGTAGTCTATTAGTGATTCAAGACAAAATCCGTTGGTTTCTCTTGTCATTTTCTCTAGTTTTAATAAGGGTGTTCAAACACTTATGTCATGTAGACAAAAACTAGATGCCATGTCATTAACTTGCTTTAAAAGATTAACAGTGTCGTGACCAAACCAAACGAACCCAGTATATCCAACCCGAAGGTAGACTAGGTGGGGGGGTGGATGTATGCGGACCTTTTATCTGTCCCAAGGGCTAAGAGGTTGTACCTGTGAAGACCACCGACTAGCAATTCAAATGTAAAAGGAAACAAGAGTGCTAGAGACAAATGGAAAAAAGTAGCAAAGTGTGTGCAAGCATGCAACAGGTATGGTAAATAGAAATGACTGCTAATAACCAAGGAAACACAAACACAGAACTGACAACTACTAGATAAAGATTCCCTCCTAACCATCTTATGGCATCGCAAGCCTATTTGTCGGGACCAGGGACGGATCCAAGGGTTTTTTGTGGTGGCATGTGCCACGGTTTTGTTCCTCCGTCATAGTGGATATAATATAGGGTCGTGAAAAGTATCACTGTATCAATTTGTTGTGTGTCACGATATATATTTTGAAACGACAATTAGAACACCATTTTTTTCCTTGGTAGAGTTGGTTTGCAATGTTTTTCTTCCATCTCAGGCCCAAGTTCAAATCCTGTTAGTGTCATTTTCTTAGTTTTTAGAATTTAATTTCAGATTTGTTATGTTTCTGGAAAAAAAATTGCAATAAAAGACTTGAACACATAACCTCACATGTGAAAAGAAATGAACTAACCAACAGACTAATGATGATTTTGTAAAAAATATCCCTATATCTGTTTCTTGTAGTCAAATGGTGCAACCACTTGAAAAAATCCGTCCCTGGTCGGGACCCTTGTCCTTCCCTTCTTTACCTAGCTACTTGTCCCTACCAAAATCCGCTACCCTAGTCTTGTATCTCCAACAATTCCTATCAGAAAGATGATAACTCTAAAAGTGGTATTTAACTTACGTTTTTAAACTTCAAGGAAGAAATGGGTCTAGAGGGTGAAATTCATTAGTATAAATGTAGGCAAGACACCTTAAAAATGGAGGTATGATACCATCCCCACTACATGTCATCACACATTCAAAGAGAAACAATTGCATATAGAGGGTGTCCAGGCTAGCTTACACGCACCTCAACTAATTTCATGGGATCCTGAAGATAACAGCCAGAAAAATCCACAGTGGCCCTGGGGAGACTTGCACCGGTAACCCATGGGCCTAAGAAACATTGCATTGCCAAAAGAAAAGGTGGCATACTAGTAATCTCACTTGATCAAAGGAGAAAAAATATCATTATAAAATCAGAACATTGAGTTGAATGGTGGGTGGAATTCGTATTTCGAAAATAAAAAAAAAACCCGAAATGCATCCCAGTTTTTTTCTTTCCCTTGCCCTCTCCCTCTCTAGTTCTCCCGTTTAAGGTCCTGAGCATGTGTACACATATGGAAGAACATCAACACCTTTATAAGTCATAACTATAATGGACGATGGTGCAACCTAATATAAATAACACATTTTCATTTGGAGAATAGTGACCTAGAGGCGGACCTAGAATCTTTTTCAAATTGTGGCACTATTTGACTATAGAAAACGAAGCTATGGATATTTTTTACAAAATCATCGTTGGCATGTTGGTCAGTTCCTTGCTTTTTGTATTTGAGGTCATGTTCGAGTCTCTTATCCCAAAAAATTCAGAAACATAATAAACCTGAAATTAAAAGCTAAAAGCTAAGAAAACGATACAAATGGCCCATGGCACCATATGCACCATAGTGGGTCCGCTCCTGTAGTGACCAATGGTAGTTCAATCTTGAATGAAAAGCATAAATAAGGCAACTCAGAAGTATCTGCTACTTTTAACCTCACCTGACAATGGTCGTCTGTCAATAACTGAGAAGAACGAATAATCTGATGCAGATCAGTATCCATCAACTCGTAAACAATATAAACATCATTGAACTTCTCTTTATCTGGTGGCCGTATGATGTCTTTAATTTTGACAATCTGCAAATCATCGACAAAATTAGACACTTTGACTTCATTGATCCCAAAAAAGATTCAGCTGTAGCCACATCAACATGAACCAAAAGGTTTATGGCCCAAAAACCATAATTCATGAAAAAAATCTACATACATTTTCATGATCCATATGGCAGAGGAGTTTGATTTCCCTCAAAGTTCTCTTAGCATCAATCCTGTTATCGAACGCATTCCCAATTTTCTTGATTGCAACTTCTTCCTTTGTTTCAGAATTTTTAGCACAACTGTAGTAAGAAATGTTATGAAATCAATACAAAGCAATCAACCATTTGCAATGGAGCAGGGGAAAACATTCTTTTCAAGCCAAATTATAGAATCAACAAGTGATAATTTCTCTTTCATAAGTGCTTCTAATCCAATCCCAGTTGAAAACCCTATAATCCTGAACAATTTTCACCATCTATTCTGAGAAAACTAAAAGGAAAGAAGCAAATTCAAGAAATGAGTTGCTTCCATTAATTGACCTACAAATCCATGAGAACCACCAAAACCCACTATCAAACTTATCACAGATTCTTGTAATATAAATGATAAGAGCTAAATTGAGATAATCTCTCTTCAAAAAGGGAAACCAAAATGGTAAATTTGACAATTTGACACATAACTTGAGGAGCTGAGGAATTGATTTCACATAATCAATCAAGAAGACGAAATTGGGAAAGCGAATGATTACCAAACGATGCCGTAAGCACCACGGCCAACAGGTTGAATGGGAGGAACGTATTTAGAAGAAACCTCAAATAGGTTTCCAAGTACACTGTAGTGTATATATTTGCCGCCGTATGCCGGAACTCCTTTCAACACCACACCTGGACCTCCGCCTTTGGATTCATGGCGGTCCATCGATTCTTTTTCGCTTTCTTTCTCAAAATCCAAATATGGGAAATGATCAGAGAGTCGAGATGTGAAAAGGGGTTATAGCTTTATTTCAAATTTGTTGGCTGATTACCGGAAGAGATTTATAATGAAGGGTGGGTGCGAGGAGCGGATGAAGAAGGGTTTACGATTTTGAAATGGGAGGAGGGTCCCTTTGTCCCCATCTTTTTCACATTGGAATTTTGAAATGTCAATTCTTCTTGGTCCTCCATTTTTGCATGCTTTCTTAGTCAACTTCTGAAAGTCGATTACACACTTGTTCGTGGAATCAGACCTTAAGAAATTGAAAGGAAGAGTCCCAAATGAAATGTTGACTCATGTATGACTTGTTGATCGGGATGGATGTGAGTCATCTTTCTTTGTTTATTTGAAATACAGCAAAAAGATGAATTTATAAAAGAGTAAAGTCTACGATTTATACAAGAAATGGAAAATCAGTCGATAAATTTTGCGAACAGAGGAAAAAAGCCACTGGCAGGAAGAAACAAAAAACATGAAGTAGGAGGGACCGAATTATTGTTATTGTTATTATTCTTATTAGATTGTTTATGTGTCTATTGTTATTGTTGCAGATAAATTGATATAAATTAAGCTTAAAGGGGCATTTGGTTCATATAATGAAATTTGGTAGAATTGGAATCGATTAGAGGAATTTGACTTTGAAGAAATTGGAGTAGAATTTAAACATGTGTTTGGTTGGCAGGAATTGAAATGGAATCTCGCAAAAGACTAGGATTTTTGCATGTGTTAGGGTTGAAGTGGGATCGGGTGACGATTGTGACAACAAGAATAGTGGTATTGTGGGGTGAGGTAGTGAGTGCGAGTGGTGGTGTGGTGGGTGGGTGGCAGTTGTAATGGAGACAGTATTAGGGTGGTAGTAGGTGGGTGGTTGTTGGGTGTAAGTGAGTGGTAGTTGTGTGTGGGGTGGGTTGGGGAGTAGCGGTGGTGGTGTGATGGAATAGTAGTAACGTTGTGGTGGCGATAACGACGTTGGGGAATGGGGGTGAGGTTGGGATGGTTGAGTGCAGGCTAGGACGATGAACAGTAGTGGTGTGCTAGTGACAATGGGTGTGGTCAAGCGGGAATGGTAAGTTGGGTAGGGTGGGATGACAATTATGGCATCGATGATGGTGGCAACAATATAGGTTGGTTAGGGTGGTATGATAATATTAACTGACGGCAGCAATCATGGTGGTGATTACATTAGTGGTAGTGGAACTGTTGGCAGCAGGAACGGTGAGGGTGGTGGTGTTGGTTAAATGGGATGCAATGGTTAGTTTTTTCTTTTTAATGAAATCATAAGTTTTGTCAAATTTGCCACAAAATGGAATTCAAATCATTCACGCATACACAAAAGAATGATCAAATCTCTCAATCATGGAATTTGACGGACACTATCAATTTAATACATGGACCAAACATCATCAAGGAATTTGATCAAAGGAATTCGTCATTCCAATTCTATCAAATTCTTTCGAATTACACCAAAGGGTCTTTAGTCTAGCGGTGTGTGAGTCTTTGGCCTCCTAGCAGGTCAGGGGTTCAAACCTCGCCAAATGTGAGGAGGGTGTGCGAGTTTTTTTTGTTATATTTGCCATATATAAATATTATGTACTTCAAAAAAAAAATCTTTCGAATTTCGTGAACCAAACATCCCTAAGTCATCGTTAGGGGGAGTGCCCCCATAGAATTCAACCTTCACAAAATGAAAAAAATATCATCTACTTAATGAGTCTCGTCTATAGCCTTGGCCATAGTGTCGAATGTGTGCCCTTTGTCGACGAAGGTTTTAGATTTGTCATTGTAGCCTCAACTAGCCTAAGGCTAGATCGTATAAGCTTGGGTCTTCACTTAACTCGTAGATGCATATCGAAACTTAATAGGTTGGCCAACCTCTGACTTCAAGCACTATGTTAGTGGCGAACCCAAGATTTTTTTGGCAGTGGTATCACAAAATAATTATTGTAATTTTAAAAAATTTAAAATTAATTATGAAAATGATTTTATGAACTCTGTTTTTGGCTATCTTGAGTCTGTTAAATACGCATTAAGTATTTAAGTTAATAGAAAATTGATACACTAGTTTATTTTCAAACGATTCTCTTAAAACTTTAAAATCAATCGATTTTTGGTGTATTTCTAATTTTCCATTTGGTGATTTGAGATACAACATGTTAACCTCAAATATAAACAAGTTAAACCTAAGTTCTAAAGAGTTAACCTCAAATATAAACAATAGAAGTAGGGACCGTTTACCAAACACTTACCTGGGTAAGCGCTTACCAAATAACATTATCTCACCAGATAAATATAGTAAGGACCAAGAATCTTACCCGGTGAAAGCGAGACAAGGACCAAGAGTCTTACTCGGTAAGTGAGGGGACACGACTCTTATCATGGTAAGCGCTTACAGGGTAAATTGTTGCATATGTTTTGGTGGACTAAAAATCTTACCCGGTAAGTACATAATAGTGTTAAATTTTACCCGTAAGCACTTACAAGTTAAGTGTTTGATAAACGACCCCACGGTCCTTAATTAACAAAAGAAACCCTAAAATCTAAAAGTTAACCCAAATTAACTGTAAACAAATAACCATAAAGTTTAAAGAGAAGATCAAATATACACAAAGTAACCTTAATCAGTTGGTTAACATGTTATTGTTTAATACTATTATACCACTATAAACAAATTAACCCTAACTGAAATGATGCTTATGAAAATTTATATTCACATTAAATTTTAATAAAAATGTTTCACGCGAGATTTTATTAGAAAAATCATCAACAAAAAAACATTGAGATCACTGTGTATTTAACGATGATTACATTTATCATACACACATGCTATTAATGTTAAAATATAATTTTTTTTATATGTGCTAACGATAAAAATATAATTAATTTTTAAAATATTTAATATTAGACTCATTTTGAAGGTATCGGTTATCAAGTAGACCTTTTTAATAGTGTAATTTATTAAAAAAAATATGTATTTTTAATGTGTTTTAACTATTAATTAATATGTCACCGTATTTGAATCTCCGTTGCCACAAGCGGATTTTTAATCTTTCTTGGATTTTAACATGGGACCTCCTACTACTTTTGACCTTTGGAGCCAAGTTTAAACCAATCAGGCACCAACCTTGTGGTTAAAAAAAAGTCGTTGATGTGGCTTCACACAACCATTTAACCCTATTTTATGTGGTTTCACACAACCATAACCCGAAGAGTGTATCCACCTGTCACAGATGTGAATATCTATGCGTTTTTTTATTAAGCAAGTAAGGTTCTGACGATTTTATAATGATAAACCGTGTGAGTAATTTGTAAATGGGCTTATAGTTGCAAACCTCTTGTCGGAAAGCAAGTGACTCTTAGGGGTCGTTTACCAAACACTTATCCGATAAGTGTTTACCGGTAAACTTTAACACCATCATTTACTTACCGTGTAAGATTTTAGTCCACCGAAACGACATTGTATTCAATAATTTACCCGGTAAACGCTTGCCGTGTAATTTTTGGAATTATGATTTTATGTGTGTGATCGTATTTTCTTATCCACCAAAATGACTAGAAGTGGCACGAGTAAAAGTCACGTCTTTTCCCTTTTTTTTTTATCATATTAATAATTTTTTTATGACATACTATTATTTATTTTGTCATATTTTGACCATTTTGGTCAAATTTGACTTTTTCAGTCAATGTTTGATTTTCTGACCAACTTTAATTTTTCTTATATTTATTTGGTTTTATTTATTATTTTTATGAAAGTTGAACTTATATTTATAAAAACTTTTAAAAAAAAATTAAAATCACAAAATTACTCAATCTCATATTAAATAATCTATACTATATTATAAAGCATATGACAAAAACTCTTAAAAACCATTTTTTATGCATGAAGTACTATATATTAATGCATATTACGTAAAATTCAAAATTACAAGCAAAATTATGCATAATACAACTTATTAAAACTCCATGTTTGAATTCGCGTAACTAACTGTGGATAAACATAACCAATTAGAGGATAAATATCGCATTTTAAAATATAAAAAATCTAAAATATAATTAGGATAATTATCGATTCTAACAAAATAATTATTTATTATCTTTGTAAGAAATTTATATTATTAAAGTAAATATAAATTATTTCGTTATTTGACCTAAATTAAATTATAATAAAAAAAATTGAATTAAAAAATTACACAAAAAATAGGAATTTTAAATAGTTAATTTGATACTAATATCGATATACTTTTGTCAAATTTTTTATAATATCTTCAAATTTATATTTTATTTAAAAATAAAAACATTATTGTTTTTTCAAAATCACATAAGACCATACTATAACATCGATTGAGATAAAAAATGAAATATTAAAATCAAAATATATCTCGTTGCATTACACGAATACCCTTCTAATATATTTTTAAAGAATATATTAATAAAAACGATATCTTCCCTTCTTTTCTCTCATTTTCTTCAAAAACATGAAAAACTATTCCATTAAAAACAGATACTCAAATAATCCATTAAATTTTGAAAAATGGAAGGATTAAATTCCAAATATTTTCAAGGACACTTGTTTGTTGGGTGTTGCAATGCGACATCAATTTTGATGCAGAATTGATTGAACAACTTTTAGAGACATTAATGAATAATAGAATCATGACAAATATATACAGAGACAACTTCATTTATTAACCTAAATTATTATGTTAACCAATATTAAACATTGATCTTTGAAATTTGTGACTAAGATCATTCATAACATAAAGTGTAAATAATTGCATACATAGATAAGATAGCATAAGTGAACAATATTTACAAGGGGTATTTTGGAAAAAAGATTTTAATTGTCCATTAATGACAATGAGATATTTTGTAACCGCCTATTAATGACAATGAGATGTTTTATAACCGCTCATTAATGACAATGCGATGTTTTGTAACTGCCTATTAATAACAATATAATTATCCGAGAATTAATGTCGTCATCGAATCAAAACCAACAGCAAGATCAAGATTCTTCTACAGTTTTTTTTTTGTTAATGGTTTATATGTGAACAAGTATATGATATTTATGGAATTGTTCACACATGAACAGGGGTGTATATGG